GGATCAGTGTGGTGGTTAGGACAGGAAGTGTGCAGGGTATTGAATTATTGCTACGAATACTTTGCATGGTGGGTATATCCTGCCTTGCTGCCTCTTGCAAGCAACCTTGCAACTTACAAAGATCTCCTCCTTTTCAGTTTATCCTCACTACAGCCTCCTTTTGAGGTAGTTAGGCTGAGAGTCTGTGACTGGCCCAAAGCCGCCCAGTGAGTTTCAAGGCTGAGTGGGGGACTTTCTGCCTATAAATAATTTTAGGCCTGTTTTCTTCTAGATAGCACAAGGAAGTTACTAATCTCCCTCCCTCCCTCCTTCCCTCTCCTCTGACTAATAACCTTTGTTTCCAGGCTAGCCAAAGAAATGGGAAGCCTATCTCCATTTCCAGCTTGAAAATACAGGCTATTAGGCTCTCAGTGGATTGGGAAAGAGAAAGGAAAGCCTTCACAAAGGGGAATCGTGGAAGAGGAACAGATCCTCGATCCCACTGGATCCCATTGGATCCCACTGGATCCCATTGCCCATGCTGGTGGTGGGGAAAGGACCTCTTCTCTCCTGGGGCTGCCCAGACGCCGGACTGGATGGTATGAAAGGTATGATCTGGCTCTCCCCTGCCAGCAGGACTTCACAGAACTCCTGGTGACCTATGGCAGTTGGGCAAGTTGTTAGCATATATGCCTTTTTCAGGCTGTATATACTTACCTGGAAGCAAGTCACACTGAACTCCAACTCACCCTCTAAGTAGGCATGTATAACATTGCACCGTGAATCCAACGTTTGGCAAGATCTACAGAACGGAGCCTAGACTGTTCAGTTGTACGCATTAGTTGTGAGCTCTTTCCATCCCAGTGGTGCAAATATGTGCACATTTTTGGTAAATTCTTATTTAAAAATCAATGGAAATTATGTACTTACTCATCCTGAAGCTCAGGCAGGGATCTTTCCCATCTACTTCTACCTGACCCTTTTTAAAATTGGAGGTGCCAAGGATTGACCCCGGGGGCTTCTAAATGCTCATCAGATGCTCTACCATCAAGCTATCATTCACTTTTATGCCCTTAGTGTTCATACATTTAAATACATCCACTAATGGATAGAAAATGTAGACCAACATCCCATCCCTCTCTCTCCTCCAACCCACTGCAAGGCCTGCATAGATGGTACATAATGGTGTCCTCATTTTCATGGATAAAATGTTGGTGAGTTTGCCATTGGCCCCACAGCAATGCCCTAAAGGTGCTCAGAATAGCATGTGGTTCCCTGAGAAACCCCAAGGCCTCATCTGGTAGCTGGCCTGTCAGACCACCTAAGAAGCAAAGTTCACGCACACCACTTTCAGCTCTGTGCATCAGTAACAACACATCACTATTCAGATGAGCCGAGCTTCCTGGAAGGTTGTGAAGTGGCTCACAACAATCTGCAGATCCCAGCAAAGGGAAGCAATGCTTGCTCCTTTGTTTCAGGGTGGTGGTGGCAGCGGTTGTCACAGAAACGGATTGACAATTGAATGATGCCTTGCCTTTGCAATGGCCACCGTGACAATGGAGAAAATTTATCCCAGCAGAAGAGTTTTTGGCTGCCGTCCATCCATCAGCAACAGGGCTGGGTGGAACAACAGGCAAATGAGCATCTTTCTTTCAGACTACATGCGGCAGGCGGGCTACAGAGTGCCGGCTTTGTCCCCTGTGTGGCTGCAGTAATGAGTGCACTTTGTGGACTGCAGCGCTGAAAGGCATCCCTTTGGCCACGGAATTGGTTCGGGCTGGTGGGAAAAGAAATCATAAATGCTACCAATATTAGGTAGTGTGTTTGGAAGCAACTGTGGAGCTGTTGTTGGCAGAAGAGCCTTGATGCAAAACACCACTCAGGGCTTTCCCTTAGTTTTTTGCTTAGCTGAAAAGCCCAGGCTGTAATCATTGCATAAGAGCTGGTCCATTTTTTCCCTGGGGGTTGCTGTTTTGCTGTGGGGGCTACCAGGGCTCCTTGGCTTGTAACCGATCATAATGCAGCTCCCTTTTATCATGTTCTTGTGTTTTTCTTTCCACATGGTAACTGCTGTTTATATCATATTACATATGAATTTTAATATGGACTGCAGCCTTTCCGACATGTAAACTTGCTAGATTAAGTAGTATATACGCATTCTTCATAAATAAGTATCAAGTATTACCAGTGGCAAAGGTCACTGAGCCCTGTCGATGGGACAATGCACCAGTCCACCTAGTCATGAACCAGCCTTGCCCCCTCACACCCTGTTTGATTTATATGATAACAAGGAAAGTCAAGCCCCGTTACCGACCCCTTTTCTATATCAGGCTTGGCAAGCTGGAGCCCTCCAATGTCTGGGACCACCACTCACAGGAGGCCCATCTGGCATCGCTGGTGGCCAAGAATGATGGAGCAGCAATTCAAAATATTTAGATTGCACTCGGGTGTCAGCCCTTGTGTTACATGATCGGGCAGTTCTCAGTTTTGACACAGAGCTGAATTTTCTCTTCTTCTTTGAAGCCTCCTGGACTTGGAAAATTTGCCTCTCTAGAAAATATTTGGTGACCCACTCTTCACATCTCTTTGCCTATGCAACTGCTTAATTTGGAGCTTAATGGTGGATTCAACCAGAACATGACATTCAAAAAGAACTGGGCAGCCATGTGAGTGGGATGGTGTAAATTGGAGTCCTGCACCAGCAGGGGGTTGGACTGGATGGCCTTCATGGCCCCTTCCAAGTCTACTATTCTATGATTCTATGTCCATGTTATTGAAATAAGAGATGAGGCCCCTTCGTCTGCCTCTCCCTCTGTGCTGCTTTCCAGCTTTATCCTGCAGTATGAACTCACCATATTGTTTCATTAAATGCAAACTGAGCTGAAATTTATCAGAGCTATTGCAGAACTCCTAGAAAATATTCAGTGAAATCCTCCCCATCCCCAATGTGGCCACTTGCAAATAGGATGGACCAAGTTCAGGGATCTGCTAGCTCAACCCAAAAGCATGTGCATCATAAGGAGTTTGGTTCTCATTGTTCTTTTCCCAGACTGCCCAGAACTTTGTTGTGGGAAAGTAAGCTGCAGGTGGTGGAGAGGCCCCCTCACTGGTGCTTCCCATTTCCTCCTGTTCCTCTCTTCCTTTCTGATCCACATCGTCTCCCAAATAGATTTCTTACATTCATCCTTTTCCCCAGCAGTTCTGCTGCAGATGAAGCTTGGCTGCCCCTTTCTTTCTGCGTGAATGCATTGCTGCCTGCTGAGATTTCATGAAGGAATCTTGGCCTTTCCAGCCCACTGGCTAGTAAGGGAGGGGGCATATTTTAGTATTCAGCCTAAGAAACTTTGAGAACAATTGGTAAACCCCCTGAAAGATCTTTGTTGTGAGAGGTTAGAGGGTGGGGGAATCCTATAAGCCAGACGAGAAAGAGAAAATTGCTTGGGGTGTTTTCCATGATGTTACAATGGTTCAGACATTAAACGCTATAAAACAAAAGATAGACTGTGATGTAACCACTATGGCTGCTGAGCAAGCAATCCCGGCAGAAACTTCTGTGAATTTCTTCTGCCGCTGGAAAAACTAATTGGAATCACCCCATCCTTCTGCCCCGCAATACCCTGCCCAGAAAGAAGTTGAAGAATTTTGAGAGGACATTTGCAATCAGCTCTAGTCATTTTCTCTCAGCTCACAATGCAACATTTCTTATAGCTTATTAGTGTTTGCACAGCAAAGCAGCTAATAACCAGCCAATTTTGTTGGCATGTTAGGGGAACTTGGAGCCTGTATACCACTGGCGGTGAACCCTGGCACCTGTGCCGCAGCGGGCACTTGAGCCAAGTCGCCCCAGCATCGCCCCAGCAGCCAAGCATCGGATAACAGTGCACATAGGGGCCATGTGCATGCTCGGAAGGGAGTATTGGCCCCAGGCGATGACGTCACGAGCCGCGACTCATTAGACGCGACTCATCTGAGCTTTCGCATGGCCAGTCAGTGCACTCCCAAGGAGATACACACACACACACACACACACACACATGCTTGGACTGACTGAGAGGTGTTTTTTCTAAACTAAAACCTCAGTTTTCAGGTTTTATTGCAGTGTTTGCACTTTGTGATAAATAAGTGGGTTTTGGGTTGCAGTTCGGGCACTCGGTGTCTAAAAGGTTCTCCATCACCGCTATATACATACGGTGCTATCTACATATTTCTCTTTTCACAGCTGTTATTTCTTCTATTGTCCAGACTGTTTGCTTGAACGTTAAGTGTGCGAGTAGGTATTGAAACAGGTGAAATTGTCAGATCTCTTTCCCTGCATCCACTGTTCCCATCAGTGGCTTTCGATAACCTTGTCTGGCTGCAACGAGCTATTCCTTTGCTTTCCATTGCTTGGTGCCTGGACTGTCGGTGCACGTGTCTCTGGCCACTGTCTCCTGCTACTGTATGCATCAACCCAACACCAGGAGGAGAAGCCCTTCTTATTTGTTCATGTTGCAGAGATGCTCCTTTCCGTAAAGGATTCTCCTGGGTGGTCACCTAGGATAACTTATCACTGAAGTTCACACCACAGATGGCACAGAGCCTGTGTTGCATGCGTTGCCATTTTTGGCTGTGGGTGCTGATGATGCTGGATTGGGCTGCAGAGTTCTGTTAAGGACCAGATGTTCAGGAAGCAAACAGTTCCAAGTAGTGATGGAACAGGGACACTGCCTGTGATTCCTCTGGAAAAGTGGGTTCTCGGGAGTTGGAATCCTCTTGAATGTTTCTGGCCTGCATTTTCTATTGATTTCTTGTTGTACACCACCCGGAGGGCTATACCATCCAGTAGCTGAGGAGTGGTGTAGCCCTCCTCCTCATCTACAGACAAGGGGTCAGAATCCGCTGAGGATGATGGTCCAGGGTACTGGTCCATGACACACATTGGACTGCAGGGATGTTTTTGCATGGGTTGCTGTATGTTGTCACCAGTTCATTAATATGCTTTGCATTCCAGACATTATCCCTCTCCTGTTAGCTAAGCCAAGATGGAAGCCCCTCTGGTAAGCCTGGATGAAGAGTTTGAAGATCTGAGGCCATGCTACATAGAAGACAGGGGAGAAAAATCTCATTATTTTTATGGCTCCTCTCCCCACTACTTGGAGGACCCCTCCCTTTCTGAGCTTGAGAACTTCTCTTCTGAGATCATCAGCTTCAAGTCCATGGAAGACTTAGTCAATGAGTTTGATGAGAAACTCAATGTCTGCTTTCGGAATTACAATGCCAAGACAGAGAATTTGGCCCCTGTAAAAAACCATCTCCAGATCCAAGAAGAAGAAGAGAACTTGCAGGATGAAGAGTAAGTACATTAACGTGTAGAAAGTACATCTTCAGCTTCAGTTGTTCTTGTTAGGACTTTTACTCTGCTCTCTGGGCAAGAGATGTTCCCAGAGCAGCTTACCTTTCTGCCACCCTTACATTTGCTGTCCCAAAACCACAGCACAGAAGGAAAAGGGGTTGGAAAAGAGATGGGTGGGGGAAAGCACAGTCAGGCCCTTGTTCTTATAAATGTTCCTTCTGGCAAGGAGGAGGGAAGTCAGCTCCCTGAAGTTGTTCCTTTTCTGGATGAAAGCAGGCTAGTCTTGTCTTTGCCACGATGTTCTTCCTTGGAGGGAGGCGGGAAGGGGCAGAGGGGCTGTCTCCCATTGGCATGTGGTCTGGGAAAGCATCCTCCCTGCAGCTGTCCCATCATCAGCTGATGGATGGCGGAGGCTGGTCCATCCCTTGTCACCACATCCTTCTTGGGGAGGAGGAGGCGTGCCTTGGCTGATGATTGACTGTTGCTCTTCACCTCTGCAGTCCCAAGGGCAATGAACATTCGGGTGGAATCTCTGTATACATGCAGAAGGATGTATTTATTATTGCTTGCTATATTGCCATCCCCCTTTTCCCTCTTGCAAGGAACCCGAGGCAGCTTATAGAGCCTTCCTCCTCCTCCTCTCAATTTCATTTTCACCAGAACTCTGTGATGCAGGTGAAACTGAGAGTCACTGGCTGGCCCAAAGTTGAACATCATGGCCAAGTGAGGACTTGAAGCAGGGTTCAGTTGGCTAGATTGTTGTGGGGTGTGTCTAATTTGCTCTGATGGAGTGGTGGCTTACTGGTTTTTCCTTGCAACATTTAAAAATCCTCTCAGAGCAGCTGCAGCAGGTTTTCTTCTCCTCCATGCTGTGTCCCACCTGTAAGATGAAGGCTATGTAGGGTCTCACTTGTCATGTTTCTGTACTCTCAGTATGCCTCTGGAATTGTTCCGGAGTGCTCTGAGATGTGGGGAGTGTTTGTCTGTCCCTGACAGAAGCTCCAGCCAACCAGCACGTAGAGCACTAACTGTTTGCAGAAGAATCGTCCCTTCCCAGCCCCCCAGAGGCTGACCTGGCCATATGTTCGGGTTCACCACAGAAGCGTTGCAGCTTTGACCCCTCCCTTGTTATATTGCCAAATCATACTCTCGTTCTCCCACTCTGTGACCTGCAAATTGGAGTCAGGAATAAATGGCTCCCCATTCTTCCGTCTGGTATGGTCACTCAAGTGTGCCTGAAGAAGCTGAGAGGAGATTGTCATGGATGATAATCAGACCAGGATAATCTGTTTCATGGAGACTCAGCTGGGTGGCACATGTTTTGCATGCAGAAGATCCCGTGCTCCGTTCCCAGAATCTGCAGTGAAGCACATCAGGCAGCAGGGGATGGGAAAGGCCTCTTTTTGAGAGAGCCTGGAGAACCGGCTGCCAGTCAGAGTAAAGAACACGGGCTTCAGTTCAGGCTGGCAGCTCCAATGGCAGTGGGACAGTGCACAACACCCCTGGGCCCAAACTGAATCTTAAAGGAACTGTCCATGGTCCTGAGCAGAAATTGTTCTGAGAGGATGGTTCGGCACCATGGACAGCTTTTAAAAGTTTGAATAAAACCTGAATAAACACTCAGCCCCACTGAAATTGGAGTCACCAGATTCCACTGTGAGGCTTGCTGAACAGTCTGACCAGATTAAGACAACGTCCTGCATTCCACCACATCTATATTTTGGACTGCAACTCCCATCATCCATTACCACTGTCGTGCTGGCTGGTGCGAACAGGAGTTGTAGTGCAAAACCTCTGGGGAAGGCTGATCTATGTGGTGCCAGGAGACCTGGGCTATTTGTGTCTTTCCAGCATATATGCATGCACAGTGCAATAGCTAGGTGTGAATCATCCATCAACACATCGTTTTCGCAGGAGTTTTCCTAAAGAGAAATGTTTTCTATGTAGGAAGGGCATAATGTAGGACTAGGGATGGGTGAATAAGCAAGCACTGATTTGCCTCATCTCTCCTTTGATTTCTGCAAGAAAATTGCATGGGAAATTGTGACGATTCAATGAGAGCATTGTCCAAAAATCTGATTATATGTCAGAGTTCTACAACTCTTCCCCATCGACTAAAGCATACCATTGCACAACTTTTAAAATGGCATTTTCAAACTGCTTTTTCTCTGAAATGTGTGCAGTTTCAGAATGTGAGCGCATGTCTGACAATTTGTGGACTTTTTCTTGGAGAACATGTTCCCTTGCTCGTGCTCACACTAGAATCTGTGAACAAGACTTGCTCAAATTTTTTGGGAGTGCAAGAGGAATTCTCATAACCACTGAATACAAATAAAGTGTCTTGGAATCTGAGAATCGCCACATGAACAAAGTATTTTTTTCTGTTTTAAATCGTTTCTTGTTACACAAAACAATTTAAAACAGAAAAACATATATGTGCTTTCTCAGTATAACTTAAAGTTCCCACAGCAGAGTCTGCTCCAGCCTTCCCTACCTGGTGCTATCCTGATGTGTTGGACTACAATGCCAATATGCTGCCTGGGGGATGCTGGGAGTTGCTGTCCAGCACATCTGGTGGGCACCACCACTGAGCAGGCTGTTCTACTCCAGCTGTGTCTCATTTTGTTCAGTAGGGCTTCCTCCTACATTTATACCCTTACTGGAGAGTAAGCCTCATTTAACACAAAGGAACTGTCTTTGAAGTAGACGGAAGAGCACGATGCTGCAGATCGCTAGTCTGTTACTTCATGTTGGTAGTTCTGCATCACATCCTATTCGTCTTATTTTTCCATTTTCAAATGGATTTATTTATTTAAGGCTTTTGTATACCATCACAATAGCCACAAGGCGCTCAGGATGGTTTACATAGTAAAAACCATCAAGAAAACATAAAAGCAACACAAACAATTCAATAATAAGACACTGAAACCGGTAAAACATTCACACCACATCAGGAGCACCGGCCGAGTGAATATCATACATTAACAGATTGGGCATGTCTTAAAAGTAATTAAAATATTAAAATTCAGTCATTAAAAGGACAGCCAAAAATTAAAATTGAGTTAAAATTAAACAATCAACAATTAAAATACTTGGAGCATAAGAATGTCTTGGTCTGGTGCCAAAATGTATACAAAAAAGGCTCCTGGTGCACATCTCAGGGGAGCCAGTTCCACAGATGTGGTGCCACAGCGGAGAAGGCCCTACTCTGGATAGCCACCCTCCTAGCTTCCTTTAATGGCAGCTCCCAAGGCAGGATCTCTGACGAAGATCTTAGGTCCAGGTAGGCTGGTATGGATGAAGACCTTCTTTCAGATATTCAGTTCCTAAGCTGCTTAGGGCTTTATACATTATACGAGCACCTTAAAGCAGGCCTGGACTTCAACTGGCAGCCAATTCCACTGATTGAGGACTGGTGTTATATGCTTACTATTACCAGTCCCCGTCAGCGGTCTGGCCACTTCATTGAGCACCAATTGAAGCTTCTGGACCATTTTCTTCTTTCCCACTAGTGCAGAGTTTGTCAGTAGGTGCAAAGCCTCCAATCCTACTTCCTGGGAAAGTGGGGTGGGAGCAAAGCTGCTTCAGTAAGGCAAAGTTTTGTTCTCACAGCAGAAACAGCCCTTGTCTATGAGCGGGGAAGGCAGCTTCAAGGCAATGACCTCTGGTGCTGTTCCAGCAAGCTGAAGGCCACAAAGACTTGGCATGCTTGTAAGAAAGCATTCTTGCTTTTGGGCTCTAGGAAAGATCACTGCACTGCCTGTTGAACCACAATCAGCGCCTCACCATTCTTCCAGCAGAGCCTGTCCAGTACTCATTCTTCCATGTTACTCCCTCCATTCCCTCTTCTTCCTTATCCTCAGTTCTCTGATAACAGCCGGTGGGTTCCTCTTCAAATATTCTGTGGCCTGCCTCTCCAGCATGGGGCGCTGTACTCTATTTCTGTTGAAGCTATGATATCTATTTCTAAATTTGCAAGCCGTATGGGTATGAACAGGCATACGCCACCCTACTGGGGTCGGTGGGCTCATATGGACTTTTTAGAGGGTTCCTTGTATGCACTTGCAAAATGCTGCCACACTGGACATGGCTGGTCCCGACACTCACATTTCTTAGAAGGCAAAGGGGTGAGGCTTAAAGAAAAGAAAAGAAAAGAAAAGAAAAGAAAAGAAAAGAAAAGAAAAGAAAAGAAAAGAAACTTGCCCATGAAACTAAATATGAGAACGGTGATGAGATCTGAGCTCTAAAATGCACACACCTTCTAAAACCCTGATGTAGATGGAACTTTGCTTTGTGGCACGCATGCCGTCTTCTCAGCATGTACTCGTATGTGGGTGGCTGTGCACACACGCAGAGCTATTTTTTTAAAATCTTAGGGTTTTTAAAAACCCGGAGGCACTGCCTTGGAGACAGCAGCATTACAGTAGAAAAACTGCATGCCAGCAGGAACCCCTCTTTGTCCTGGTTTGTGTCCATGGTTTCTGATCGTGTATTTAAAGTGGTTGAATTTTGGCTGCCATTCTTCTCTTTTACCAAACATGACCTGCTATTCATCTTTGCACTGATAATGTGGACATGAGAATTATTATTATTATTATTATTTTATTTCTCTACGGCCCCACAGCTGAAGTTTTCTGGGAGGTTCACAACAATCTATAGAAACAAGACAATAAAAATGCCATAAAACATCACAGAACAATTTGTAGTTGGAGTAGGCCTGGATCTGGGTTCTAGTCCCCAGTCATGCATGATTTGCACCAGTCATGGACTCTCAGCTTAATTTACCTCACAGGGTTGTTGTGAGAATAAAATGGTGGAGAAGGATTCTGTAAGCTTTCCTGGCTGCCTTGCAGGAAAAAGCAGTTTATAAGTATCATAAGGCAATGCATAGCATAATGCAATGTTCAATTTTTTGCAGCCCTAAGGTGGCCGCTTCCAGATGCAACTGTTTCAATATTCCTGCTATTCTTTCACTATGAGATATGCATCTTGGTTGTGGAAACTTGAATGGTGCACAGAGATGGGCTGTAGAGCTGGTGGCAATCTTCTTCAGTGTTGACAGCCCAAATGAACCCAGCATCTCTTTCATGGAGAGAAGCATAATCTCTCTCTCTCTCCTCTCTCTCTCTCCCCCAAACGGACCAGATTTGCCCCATCTTTGTTCTTTTGGCTCTTGAATCTGTGACTACCCTGTTTGGTTCCCTGCAGCTGGTGGAATTATTTGCACTCTGCCCGTGGCTTGATCCCAGAAACTGTTTTCTTGTTTTCCTCAATGGACACATTGTTTGCTGTTCTAGATATATCTCACCTTGTCCATTGGTTGGAACAGAGCAGCGGAATCAGAGTGGATCTTGTCCGAGGATATTTATGCCAGCACTGTGTCATGGAGCTCACAATCCCTCTTGTCTTAAAGGAAAGGGAACTGAATTGTAGATGGGCAAACCTGCCAATGTTGGTTTCCCCTAAAGCCACTTTGAGATAGCATCTCTTTATACTGGGGTATTCAAATATGGTGATTCCATAGAAGTATGTGTGCTAGAATGCAATAGGCAGGGGTCATGGGTCCACACATCCTTCTGAGCTGTAGACAGAGCAACAGGTTTGACATTTCTGTTTTAATGCTGGAGCAAACTTGCTAGCTCCTTCCAGCTGTTGGGCCCATGACATGAACCACTGTGGAGGTTCCCATGGTAGCTTCCTCTATGAGAGCATTGCAATTCAGACTCTCTGCCTACCCCTTGCCATTTCTGGTTTACATTTGCTAGTCTTGTATTTGCTTGGCATAGGTCAAGCTTTAGTTAGGATGGAGGTGAGTGGGGAAGGGACCCAGAGTCCAAAGGAAATGCCCCAGGGGACATTTGAAGAGTCAATAGAACCGGATTCTGAATTTGGGGATCCTAGATGTAAATCTCTGTTCAGCCATTAGGGTTTCTTGGGCAGCTTTGAACAAGGCAGAAGGCTTTCCACTTCAATTCCCTGTATGCTGTTATAGGAACAATAGTGACTCATCTCACAGAGTTGTTATGAAAATGGCTAAAAAATTGTTGCTTTCCATATTCCTCAGGCATATGGGAGCTAAACTGAAAACGTAGGCTGGGAAGAAATGATTTCATATCCGAGAGCAACAGAAATAGTATGAAAATACCTAGTAATGTGCCACAGATGCTTGCATGAAAGCTCACTCACAGCTACAATTACTGGAATCAGTTTGGGAGTTCTGTGGACAAGTGGCAGAACTGTGTTGCATTTAGGGTTCTCTTTGTCAGGTGATTCTCTAGAGCAAAGTGTCAAACTATCCTTCTGGAAGCAGAAGACAATGTTCTGGAAGGGAGGACACCTCTGGACCCAGCACATTGTCTTTTAGGTTGAAAAATATGTTTTCATACCTCTGCGGTTTCTTTCATCAACGCCTCCCGTCCTTGTGCCAGTCACTCTGGAACTTGCTATTCTTTTGCTATTTCTATCATTATTTTCCAGAATTCCTGAGATGGATTTTCTTATCTTCTTGCAGGGTCCTTCCAGTATATATTCTAATATGCGTACTACCCACGTTATTACAACTTTTCCAGCTGGGAGTGGCTGCTGGGCAGGGTGCGGGGTGGTGAAGTGGGGGGCCTTCTGCAGAGAAGAGGCACACTGTTGTTTTGTGTTGTGCTGGTTGTGAACATTTTCCTTTCCTCCTTTCAGTTTTTTAAAAACTGTACTTCGCTCCTCTGCTTCTGTGCGCCGGTGTTCACACAGCACAGTGCACATAAAGGAGTGAAAGGCAGATGTGGTTTTGCATTGCGGGCTTTTGCGGAAGAGAGCCCTCACACCAGGACGGAGTGATCCCCACCCATTTATGCTCAGGTAGCATCATGCAGCATTAAGTATGGCATGGAGCTGCATGAATGACCAGCCTCCCCTGCCCCCCCCCCCCGCCACTTCTCATGCCATTTCCCACACTGTGCCCTGTGAGTAACATTTGCAGGAGTGAAACAGAGCAGTACAAGAACGGAATGGGTTCCAGTGCAGATCTGCTCATGATCAACTGGGAATGAAAACTCTGTTGTCCTCTGGATGGTTTTGGACTGAACTGGGCAATGCCTACCTAGAATTTAAATCAACAATAGTACTGGGTTTAGTTTGGATGATTCCGGTTGACTTGTTGTTGTTTGCAATTGGGTCGCTCAGCTGAAGAGAAGGCTCAGGTTTGCCTTTTCCCATTTCTTCATACTCTCTTTTGAACTCTGCCTACTGAGAAATTTCCCAAGGGAAGCATTGTGCTGTCCAAATGGCTTTCCTCTATTAACATACCTCTTGCTTTTTTTTCCAGGGTTTGGGATGCTCTTACGGACAATTACATCCCATCCATCTCTGAGGACTGGAGGGATCCCAATGTTGTCAAGGTACTAAATGGCAACGTCTCGGACACAGAGGTATTTACCTGCATTTGTCTGCTCTCCCTTCCCTCCTGCTTTCCGGTAATCATAAGATGAAATATTTTACAAGCATGTACGGAAGCACCGTTTTGAAATGCAGCCAATGGGTGGGCGATAATTATTAAGCAGCTCCATTAATGCATGCAAAACAGAAGTGACAACTGGCAGCCATTCCACAAAGCAGAACAAATAGAATGTGAGAATGGAGTTCTTCTCAGATAGTAGAACAGATCTGCTAACCTTTCTTGAATTGAGGTCATCATCCCTGGGTAATGGAGAGGCATGTATAATGAGGGAAAGACTGCTCTGTGTGTGTGTGTTTGTGTGTGTGCGCACGAACACACAGGCAAAGGGAGGCATTGTCCTCTTGGCTGTTGTTTGCGCAGAGAGTGACATTGCTGATGTTTGTGCCGCCTTCCACCCTGACACTTTCGGAACAATGGGCGGCTGGCCTTTCGAACAATGGCGACTGTGATGGCGAAGGAGACGCATCGCAGAGCTCGGCAGGGATCAACCAGGCCCTTGTGTGTCTGCATTGCTCTTTCGCTTGAGCTTTGTTGAAAGAAGAGCAGCAGGACGCATTCAGAGAAGTCTCTCCCGTTTGGCCTTTTCCTCCCCATAAAATCTCTTGAGCTGAAGAGCAGGGGTAGATATGGGGGAGGGGGAAAGGGGTTGCCAGGTATGTATGTCAGAAATAAGATTGCGACAAGGCGGCGGATTAAATGAAGGCAGAGAATTCTGAGATAAGGAACACGTTTTCTTTCTTTTCTGGGATGAAGGCCAGACTATGAGCTGTCTAGCTGACTGGAAATGTCTAGAGAAGGAAAGAAGCAGGCAGGCTAGGCATCAGTGGATGGCTCTGGACAGGGCTTGGCTGCGAAAGAGTAGGGCTCAGGGCAGGAGGACAATTGCAGTACCCAGAAGGCCTTGGGGGATATCTAATGTTGTTGCATTGGAATCTAGGCACCCTTTTCTTGCTATATTGTGGTCATTTGGTAGTCTAATAGGGATGTGGACAGGGTGAATGAAAAGAGAGGGGGCTTGTAAAGAACGAATGGTTTGGGACAAGGAAAAGGAGCAGCGAGTTCCATTCTTCTCACCCTCTTGCTTGGAGGAAGAAGACCATTGAAGGAGTCACTATTGATTAGAGTAGGGTGACCTGCTTGGGGAGAGGGGACCTACTAGGGCATTTTGCCCAAGGGTGCCTCCAGACCCGTGGAGCCACTGGGCCCTCTGATGAGGCTCTGGGGCAGTCTTCCTGAGACAAGCCAGCCTCCTCCCTCGCCTTCCAAGCAGATCAGGGCAGAAAGCTTTCTAACAAAAGGCATTGTTAGGTTAAAGCTGACCAGCTAGGTTAGCTTTGTGATGCAGAAGAGGGGCACTGCACAAGTCAATCACCAGTGACACAAGCAGTTAGCATATTGGTTGCAAGGTGGCCTAATGGCAGGAAGGTGATTCCAAAGTGACTATTTCTCCTTTCTTGCAAAGGAAAAAAGCTGACTCTGCCTTCAAGCTGGGCCATGTTCCCTTGGGCCAATCGCATGTCTTAATTTCTCTGCCCTTTTAATTTGGCATTGGATTGATGATGTTAAGTCCAGCCCCCCAATCTCAGTAGAACTCCCCCCACCCCCGGTTTATCTCCAGCTCCATCAGCCTTGGCGTTTCAGCTGCAGGTTCCAACCCCACCTCTCCTTCCACTTCTGGATCAGCATCTGAGATTATCACCTTTGAAAGATGACTTATGGGAGGAGTGGGCGCACTTTCTACACTTTCTCAACCTGGCACCTTCATGGCCAAGCCAGCAAGGCCAGTGATCGGGCATGATGCGAGTGGCATTCTGAGGATGCCAAACTGGGGGATGCCGTCCTAGAGAGAAAGGGGACAGAATATGTCACTCGAGGCAGCTCTTCTTTTTCTCCTCGCTACACCAGGAGAAAAGCAGCGTCACGATCAGCAGGGGGTCAGCCAGCCACCGAAGTCACTTGGTTGTAAAATGAAAAGAGGAATTGCGTCACCTCCACAGCCAACCCCAAACTGCAGATTCATGTGTGTGTCAGCTTTGCAAACCAACCAATGGAAGACAGCAGCTTCCACTGCTTGCTTTCTTATCCTGTTCAGTCAACAATAACTTATGCAGCTTTAAGTTCTTAATGGGTTTACTGGAGTGAGGTCAGGAACCATGAAAGCAGAGAGCCAAAGAGATGTTATTTGTGGAGGTCAATGGGAGCCTTTGGATGATCTGGAATCCCCCCCCCCCCCGCACCTTCCCAGGCCATAAGCTGTTCTGAGCACCCTGTGGTGTAGGGAATTCAGTAGGATCTTGGCAGCCATGATTGCTGTTCACTGTTGGATGCTCAGTTGCTTCTAGGATCCAAAAAGGGAAGCGCAGAAGGGAGAGGAAGGCAAGGCAGGTGGGCTTCGATCAACTCCACAAAGCTCAGACAGGGTCATCCCCAAGGGCTGGCACTGTTGGGCACGGAGGAGGGCAAGGGACTGACCGATACAGACCCCACGGCAACTTGCCCCCCAAAACCTGCTTAGCCACCTGCTTCCCACACTGGTCCAGACGATGCTGCTGGGGGAAGAAGAAGGTAGGTGCCCCTGCCTTCTTGCCCATCACGTCCCTGCTTAGCAAGCAAGCAGGCAGCAGCAATGGTGAGGAACGGGGGCATCTCCAGCAGCTGGTTGCTTCGCCTCTCTGGGCAACAGGAAGAAATTCCACAGAGGAAGCTCACAGAAACACAATGAGTCAGAAGGGACATCCTTGGGCTTCTGGTCTGACCCCTGCTCATGTAACACCCAACCTGAACTCTGCATCGTCATGGTCAGAGAAGCTGACCATTTCGTGGTCTACCCAGCATGGAAAACGAGGGTTAGCGAGAGAGACACTCAAGCCTAGTAAGGGGAGATTCTGATGGACAAGGAAGAACAGAATGCATTGAGCCAAGGAAGCCAAGCAGTGCTTGAGCCATGGGAGAGGAGAGCGCATTGAAGGTGACCGTATTCACCTCCGTAGGCCCCGACCCCTGATCCCCCACCCTTTGGGCCAGGTCGTGCCCAGGGGGCCACCATTCTTGGTGGGCCTTGCTGGCCAAGCCATAAACTGTAGTTACTATCCTGAGAGGAAGCCTGTGGGGGTGGCTGGGAGAGAGCCGTGTACTTTTGGGCACTGCTTCCAAGAAGCGCATGCAGTATCCGCTAGGCAGCAAGATCCAGTCCTCTGTCCCCCAGACCATTTCCTGAGGGGAAGAACAGGCAGGGTGAGGGTGCGCCAAGGCTCATGGGTGAGCATCCCCCACTTCGGTCTAACTGGCTGGGTGGGCTGGGCCATTTGCCAGGTTCGACTCCCCAGGGTGAGTTTTGCAGGCCTATTTGGTGAAGTCCGGATCACGCTCCCCATTGCTTTCCAAAATGGGAGCAACTGGACCTGTTCCTCAAAGGTCGGGGGCCTGGCCTCCCCTCACCCCTCCTCTGGCACCCTGTAATTTGAGTTTTGGAAACCACGTGGTCTTTATTTATTGAAATGCACTTTTCTTTAGTTTTAATATTTTGACAATGTGGAATATGGGGGGATGCAAACTCAAATGAACAAAGGGAGAGGGGAAAGGATGAAAAAGGTATGCAAAAGCAAGCAGGAGAATGCCCTGTGGACACTCTGCCAGGGGATTAATTTCTCTGTATGTTTGTATTTTGCATGCTTCATGAGTGTGAAGGGCTAGTCTGTGACCCTGTGGAAACAGGGCTGTGTATTAAAAACAGCAGTGTTTAATATGCCTCACGTATTTTAGGCCAGCCTTGCATGGATGCCATTGGCGATGAGGAATTCTATGCCAAGGGAAGCATGAAATCCCACGCGGACGAATGAGCAGAGGGCAGATGGACCAGTGACTAAACTAAATGCTGCTGTGGCTTATTTACAAGGCTCTTCTAGATGCTACAATAGATGATGGTGAAGAAAAGGTCCATTTCACAGAGGAGCTGTTTCTGTGTAGACGAGCTCAGGTGGCAGTCCAGGGTAGGCAGAGTGGAGCATTCGCTAGTAGCCCGCTGACAGGGGTCCACCAGGGTCACGCCTCTTCTTCACTACTGCAGTCTGCTTGTTCACCTGCCTCTCTCTCTAGCCCAGGCGATGGAGGTGGTGAGAAGGAGGAACTCCAGGTGCCACTAACTGATGATGTTCGTCCATCGTTTTCGATGAGGACCTTGACATCTAATGGGTTGTGAGTTGTCCACGGTGTGTCCGCAGGTGGCTGATAAGGCCCATACGGGCACGGAGTGTTCTGCCACATGTGAGGCAGACATGTGTGGGCACCACTGTTGCAGCATTTGCAACTCTGGCTTTACGGAGCGCTCGCTTCTCTTGTGCTATGGTTGTCCTTCTGGCTTCAGAAGCTTGGCAGCCTTGGTGGATCAGCGTGCGCCATGTCGGTCGGTCTTGTGCCAGGGTCTCCCGGGAGGTGGTGTCGATAACCAGGGACTTGAGAGAGGCTTTCAGCGTGTCTTTGTAACTAGGACTGAAAAGGTAGACTCTCTGAAGGAGGGGACCCATTCAGAGGGACTTGCCCAGAGCCTCCTGGAAACCCAAAGAATGTTTCTCTTCATATGTGTGCAGCCTTTGACTGCAGTTTTCCCATTTGGTCCCAATGAGTGGCCAAGGGAAGGCACGTACTTCCCTGGCAGAGAACACGCTTCACATGCAGACAGTCTCCTCTGAAAATTCAGAGCACTGCCACGGCCTTCATAGATATTCTTGCACTAGAAAGATCAAACAAGAGAAGAGTTGCTTGTTTTTTCTAAGTAAGGGTTGATCTACATGCTCCAGAATGAATGAGAAGCACAAAGCAAAATTCTCCTGTTGCGCTCGAGAATGCGAAAAGAGGAACACGCGCTCGATGCTTTGCTTTGTGAAAGCCAAACTTGACTTGCCTAAGCATTGAAAACTCATGCGTCAGGCAGAAGGGCCCTTGCTGAACCTTCTTCTGGAGACCTTAATTTCT